AGAACAAAAAGCCTGATGCCTTTTAGTGCCTTACAGAACCTGCCTGGCACCTGCTCCAAATAATATCTAAGGCTCTGTGTACCGAAGCACAGTTGGGTGGGTCTTGGCAGTGGCCTCATGTCCCAGATTACACTAGTGCCTGCCAGCACAACAAGCACCTGTCGATACCAAAGGTTCTATAAAAACTGAAGGCTCCCGGACAATGCTTCACATTTGTCTTCCACCAAAAAAAAAATAAATAAATAAAAAAAAACAATTTCTTAACAAAATCAACTACTTTTATTGTCATGTCAACAACACCTAATAATTACTTGGGTCTAAAGTGCGCAAATTCAGGCTAACTGTAGCAGAAGGAAGGTCATTTCTACCAGTTTACAATATGTTTCAGCTTGCCTGCCAACAGCAAACGACATACTAACCTCTGGTCGGGCCTAGCTTATCCCAGCCACAGCAGATTTACAGAGTCAGGCATATAAAAGGACGTTTCAAGGCCTCAGTATGAATGAAAACGATTGCTGTCTGGGTGAAAGGGTTAAAGTGACATGAATATCATTCAGCTGTCCACCACTGCAGGTCAGCGGTGTTTCTAATCAGTAAATCAGTGGGGGTGTGCACTGAATTCTGGGTGGAGGCTCTGCCAGGTTGACAGATGGGAATGACCCTTCGAGACAAATGTCCAGGATCTTACACTGCTCCCTTCCTCCATTCTACTCCTTTGTTTTTTATGTAGCACCTATTTGAACTAGTCATGTTCAACTGCACAGTAGAAACTGCAAGTAACAAAGCTGCTGCAGATTTAAACGAACGAGACGCAGCTGCTTAAACTGCGGTCACTTCTTTGGCTCCAAGCTTTTCTTTTACCATTAAGCCAAAAGGTCAACATTACAAATGCAGTATTATAAAGGATTAACATCTTTAACATGATCAATTTGTAACATCTACATGTAGTTTTTACATCACTAATAGCTGGGAGTGAAGACTGGGATTCCAATTATCTATTAGAAATGAAAATGAAATGGAAAAAAGCAGAATTAAAATTGCAGGAGAATAAATTAAAATTAAATAATGCCCTGCGTTTCCCAATGTAATAAAAGAATCAGGAGGCGGGGAGTAATCCAGAAAGCTAACCTAAGAACCGACTCTAACCTGGGGACCTGGAGATTTTAGTTTCACTTTTATTTTCCACTCCTGTCTATTTTCTATTTTCTTATCAAATTGCTTTATGACTTTCCTTTTCCTCTGACTTCCTCCACATTTATCCAGTGTTTATGTAACAGTCAGCTACAGTATGGCCTCCACTGCTGGTGCAGGTGCCCCGTCATCATTCAACCACAGCGACCTCCTCATGACCTCAAACAGTTCATCACCACATTCTCACAGTTCGGGTGATTTGGGTTTCAGTTACTGGCTGAACTGGGAGACATCTGGAAACGAAATTATTTTCTGAAGCTGCTGGCAGCATCTTCATTTACTGAGTAAACATTTACTGCAGCATCGTGTTAGGTGCTGCTGAGTTTCAGACTGTGTTAAGCCCAGAGCAGCCAGAGGTCTTTCAAATAACCCTGGTTTAAATGTTTGAAAGAGAAATAAGAAAATCTCTTTGAACCTCCATGTAATAAAAAAAACATTAAAAATTAAAATACACAAATAATAAAGTAATAATAACTATTTAAAAGTTAAAAACAAAAAAGAGGCTTGATTTCATCCCCAGTTTGGGAAAAATGCAAGTGGCTGCCATGGCAACCGCATAGGCTATAATGCAGGGGAAGTACAGAAAATCCTGGACGACACATGCGGAATGTAGAAAAAGCTTCTCACTGCTCCCATCATTTCTACAAACAACAAAATCAACCTGTGCCTCAATAGACCCTTAAAACAGGTGTGACTGTGAGAGTTCTCCTATGGCGAAAAACTGGGTCAGTGACATCAGCTCTCCAGAAACATGGACCTGAAGTAAGTTTTAAGGTCAGTGAGAAAAATACTGTAGAATCAGTGCAAGAACAGAGGCAGTGTTCTGGTTCTAAAGGTGCAGTTATTCATAACCATCTTTATGGTATGGTAAAGACTGATGTCAATCCTTCTGGTTCTTGCATTACAATGAATCTACAGTAATGTCTGCTCATTAAATCCTATGAATATGGATGCATTAAATAATGATTGTAGAAAAAACTATAAATACTACCTAATCTGATTATAAATTACATGTAATGAAAATGCGTGATATATTCTATGTGTTATATTGTATTTAGATGAACTGCTTTGTGAGACTAGTGAGGTACTTTGTTATTTTGAAACTTCTGTTTTGGTAGTTTTTTTCTTATTCTAAACAACCTCAAACAGATACCTTATATCAGTCAGCTTTATATTTATTATTCAGTAAGGAAAGAAAAATCATTTTCAGTCCTGCAGGGAGTACAGTTAAATTATCAATCAGAACTTGGACCACATATAAGACTACTGAGTTAAATTATCAATCTGAACTTGGACCACATATAAGACTACTGACACTGACGCCCACAGACAGAAAAACAAACGATGTTATTACAGACACATGCACACTGGCACCTACCAGACCCTACATGTACTAAAGACACTGCATTAACACTGTGTCAACCTGTTGACAGAGATATAAAGGTGTCAGTGTTTCAACAGTCTTTGTTGTGTCAACAGTTGAATGATGCTCCGGCCAGAACTTTACTCATTGTCCCAGGAGAACAAAGGGAGACGAGAGGCTGGCTCTTCATCAGGGTTCTCCTGCCCTCTTCCTGTGCCTTCTAAATGAATTCACATTAGCTTGTTCTAGACCAGGGAGTCTGTTTTAAACTCTCTGACCATCCAACACAAAGCCCAGCATAAATCCATGAAAGTTAGAGAATCTACAGGAAAACAGGTTTTTCTGTTTCTCTACAAATACAATTTTTTTAGTCATCAGTCTGTGAGAAATGAAATCATGGATCAACAACTTTACTGCACAGTAGATTCTTATTTTACCGTCATCAGTCATAGACAGCATAAACTGTGTAATATGGTTGGATGAAATAAAACATGCAAATTTTGTTTACTGCAATTCCACAGAAGTCCATTTTAACATAGGGTTACTCAATACTAATATTGTCTCTGCACATAAAAAAAAAACTCAGGGCTCATTCATTATCCCATGCCATTTCAGCAGATACCCAACCGGAAGCTCAGATAAGAGGCCATTAGTGCCACAACAAGAATCAACTACAAGGAGTGTCTGGCCGTAGCACTAAATCTATGACCGTCTACACTCGCCCTGCAGTCTGAATGTGCTACAGTACAAACACCATCCACCCACAGTCTCTTTGTTTGTAGTTATAGTACAATTAAAAAATAATTAATACATTTTGACACAACAGCTACTGTTTCAACTGTGCTGTGTGTCTCCGTCCACGTCACACACACACTCTGACACAGATGCTAACGTACTAGTAATAAAATCTATCCCCAGTGATCTGTTGACATTCTGACAGCATTGCACGTAATGTACGCAGCCAAAGCAGTGTTCACTAGTCTGCCTGCACATCTGCATCAGCTGTCAGGGTTCTCAGGAATATCGTCAATATGTGTCAGTGCTATCAACTGAATTATCATATTGATGTTGTCTCGTAAAAAAAGTATAGGCTGTGTATCAGTGGCTGCGCAGTTGCCTTACATCCAGAGGGGCGGTGTGATTTATTCTGGTTAATAATATGTTAAAAATAACCAAACATTAGTGACTTCATCTCCTCTGCAGGTTATAATTATGGAATGATGTCTAGTAAAAACCCCAGGTGGAAGTAACTCGGTTTGTTTATGTGGTATATTATCCCAATATTTAAAAGTAAGGCGTCTGCAATTTACTGAGAGGGTAAAATTTTCTGGACAACTCTATGGTATCATTTTTATAAGCTCCCATATATGTATATATAAATATATGAATATGAGTGGGTGATGAGCCAAGTGTGGTTGACGAGCGAAAGAAAGCTAGACACAAAGGACACAGAAATACGCGGAGGTAAACTTCATTAGACACTACTTACGATTGACAACTACATTTTCCTGAATGAGCCTGTTGACAGTAAAGGTCACTGAAGTCATGTTATCTGTAAACAACACCAATTGTGGAGAGTGACCAGGCCCCTATTTGGTGTTCCAACTGCCAGTCACAAGTCACTGCCAATCTCATCAACTCTACTGGTATCTCAGGCTTCTGTTTTCCTCTCTCTAAATGGATAAATTATTTACAAATGTGACATTTTACGAGACAACCTGGAATCATAATTGAGACCATTGAATCCAATATAATGTTTATAGATTGTTTAGGAATTTCTGCTGTTTGTTGGTTACAGTCTCTCGTGGTCCCTGAAACACATCTTACACCGTCACACCCAGACTGAAAACATCCGTGTGTGAAAAGTGCTTCTTATAAACCAACCCCAGCATAGAGGCACTGGTATCTACTATATTTTTTTAGAATACAAAAGAGTGCTTTAGACACTATAGCAGCTCCTTAGAGACTACGGTAAAACGCATGTGCCAATGATGGCTTGTTTGTAACCATTGTTTTATGACACACATACAGATGGGGCTGGATATGCCGAGTCTCGGGCCAAGTCACACCCAGATGAGACAGTGAATCACCGCAGAGCTGGGATGTTAGCAGAGAACTGCACCTGCTCCGAGTAAAGAAAGCGGTTGGGCTCCTGTCAGGCCGGTTTCTCTAATGTAACCGCCGTTGTCCGAATGCTGTCAAATGGAACAGTACTGATTACCTGCCAAATTTACCCGAATGGCATGAACTAGGGAGCTACGGTGCTAGTTAGCATGTGTTTAAATGCTAGCCCTTAGCTGAAATAAGTGTTCAAAGCCAGACGGATTAGAACGGTGTGTCCCGGAGTGGTTAACAGGTCAGTTTATCCATCTAGAAATAGGCAAAAGGAGACGACAAACACAACGAGTGTCAGTGTATGCCACACACGTTAGCTGCGCTGAGGTACCTTTGTTTCCCTGATGTCCTGCTTCCCTCCTTCAGGGTACCACTGGACCCGGACGTATCCTCTACCTAGTGGCCGACTCGGACTGTCCACTGCGCTCTCAGTGTCAGAACCACCCGGGGCTCCTCGTCCACCTCCTCCTTCACTTCCACCGCCACCGCCGCGTGTCCCTCCGCCATCATCAAGGTCCGAATCCGGGTTAAACTCCTCCTCGCCGTGGATCATCCGTACGAGGCCAAACCGGACTGATCCGCGGTACCGCCCGGAGACGAGGTCGTGGGAGAAGAGCAGCCGTTGAGAGCCGTCATTTGTAGGGGAGAGAGCCATGGATGGAGGCTCGGAGCCCGGGCTTGCTGTGGGAGAATGGCCCGGGCTGTGGGATGCTGCAGCTGCTGTGTCCGATGCTACGGGCTCCGCCATCACTGCTGTTGTCAGGGAGTGATGCTAGAGTGCGAGGATGACGGCGAACTGAGAAAAAACACTGGGGAAAGCAGCCAAATGCACGTGTTTACGTCTCTACGCACAGGCGTACGTAACGAGCACAGTATGAATACGTCATCACGCAGTGTTCTCTTACCTCTTACCACAGAGAGGCAGTGTGGATCAGGTGACACCTGTCCACGCTAACACACCCAAATAAAAGCACAAACTTTGAATGGCTTTTATCTTTTACTGTGACAGGTTTGAGATGATGTTCAAATCAACCGCTCTGAATACTGAACTCTGAATATGACTCACATCACTGCTGTTTCTGGTGCAGCATAGCTTAGATAAATTGTTGCTCTAAATTTTTTGTTTTGTTTTTGAAAGCAAAATATCTTTGGTTTGTTTACTGTAGTATAACGCAAAGACTGATCATCTCCAAAATGGCTGCTTTCCTAAAGATTTTCAGGCTTATTGAAAACAGCAGCACGCTTCCCTAAAGAGATCCTAATTTTCAGGCTTATTGAAAACAGCAGCAGTAGCATCTGTTCTGACTGTACAGTCCTATTTGCACTTATTACATTACAGTTTTAGATATAGTTCTTTTTTTTCGTTTTTTTTTTCTTTTTTTTCACCAGGATTTTTCAGATTATCATAAACAGGGCTGAGAATTAGGGTGCACTTTGATTTTTGTTTGTATTGAACTGTGTTCACCACAGCTATACAACAGAGCTCAGATACAACGCTCCATAACTTTTGAGAATGCAAACATTGAGATTCACTTTTGGCATTTCTTTTTTCTTCATCAGGTGTATAGTCTGTGTAGTGATTTTGGCTTTCTTTTATATATAATTTCTGATGTAACCCTGCCCAGTATGGTCAAAGAATGGATTTAAAGAATGACCTACTGTGTGGACGGCAGGAACCCCAGAGCTGGGCCTCACCACCCTGCAGAGGAGACAAACGGACAGTAAACTACAGTAAAGTAAAGTATTTGAGACATGGGTTTAGGGTCTGCACCAGTATCAATTACAGTCCACTATAATGAGAAAAATAGGTAATGGTGTTGAATAAACTCATTTAATCAACCCACTCACATGTTGTTAACCCTTGAAGGAATAGGAGCGGGACCCAATCCCTGCAATCATCAAACGGGGATTAGGGGGTCATCACGGGGCCACGTGACATTCACACCCAGAGTTTTTGGACACTGGAGGGAAATGCACACATTCTTATGATCAATTTCGAGCATTGAACTATGTTATCGCTGACCTTACCATGTTTTTGGACACTGGAGGGAAATGCACACATGGGGAGAACATGCAAACTCTATTCAGGAAAAGAAGAGACCAAACTGTTATCTTATTGCCATAAGGACACAAACCACTCTGCCATAATGTAATTTAAAATATTAATATAATAAATCATTTTGATCCGGTTATTCAGTGTGAACTGCTATAATAACAAAACAGGAATGTAATAATAATAATTTTTAAAAAAAACAATAATGTCTTACCTCAACGCTGAAGAACTGACAAACAAACTCCTACACATCCTGCGGCTTAATCCTCTTAGATGTGTGGAAAAAAAACGCGTGGAAAAAGTATGGACTCTACTTAAAGCGATAATGGAAAGTCTCCAGAAAATCACATGCAGAGGTAAGAGGATAGTCTTAAAGATGGCCCGGTTCAGCCACCGAGCAGGTGATGACTTTAATAGGCGCTAATATATAAATAAAATAAAACCGTCCAGATAAACGTCACGTCACCTCAGATCTCCTCTCTGTTACACAGATAGGTCACATCATTGGACATCATGGGTTCATTAAAGTATACCAAGCCATTGGTATGTTGTTTAGGAGCCTCCACCACGTGATCAGAAAAGAAATCTAAATCTGCTGCGGGCGTGATGGTGGCATGACGAGGATAATTCTCTACACACCGCTGTATCCCCCCCTTGACGCCAACTACACATGGGTATTGTTGTTCAGCCTGCATACGGCAAGTGGTCGTTTGGTGATCTGTAACTCTCTGCAGGATTAAAGCCACCAGCCCTGCCCACCGAGGGTATAAACGCTGACCACACCGCGCCCGGGCGCCAGACTTCGCGAACTCACCTTTACGCACGTACCACGCTGCAAGAAAGGACATTACTTTCTCAGAGGAAGGCACTGGTTGTACCTTTGAAAAATACTCACCTTTAAAACATTTAAATTAAGAAAAGCATGTCGGTGGTGAGTGCTGTGCCGTTCATGAGGCCGCTCCACCTGCGCTCGCCGGTGCCACGGGGTCGCCGTCACACGCTGCCCGCCAGCGAGTTCCGTTCTCTCAGCCCAGAGGACGCCGTCAGCGTGTTTGAGATTGAGAGAGAAGGTTAGTTGAAAATAAAAACCCAATTTTACCCCCTCCATAATCTGTATAGCGCTTTTTGTCTAGATGATAAAGATCCTCGTGCGTAATTACGCACAATGCTGTGCTTCTCATTCGTAAGTGTAGAAGAGTCCGATTCACAGATGGAATAATCCTTAAAGATCCTCGTGCGTAATTACGCAGAGTCCGATTCACAGATGGAATAATCCACAAAGTAATCTGACGTAAATCTACCTATCACGAATGGTATTTATAAAACACCAAAGTAAAACTTATGTGTCTTCTCCTCCTCCTCACAGCCTTCATCTCTGTGTCCGGCGAGTGTCCTCTCCACCTGGACGAGGTGCGTCACTTCCTCACCCTCTGTCCAGAGCTGTCTCTGGGCTGGTTTGAGGAGGGTCGTCTGGTGGCTTTCATTATCGGCTCTCTGTGGGACCAAGACAAGCTCACAACGGTGAGAGACAGCAGAGCGCACAGTCCTAATATCACTCTAATGACACGTAAAAGTAGTTTCCAAGGTCGAGAAAAGTGCGAAAATGTGTTGTAAGGTGTAAAATATATGTTAATAAAAATAATTTTATAAATACCAAAACAAGTTGGGATATGGTGCAGGTCACATAAGGACAAACTCAGGTGCACTGTTGCTGAATAACAATTAAAATCAATTAAATTCCATTCTATTCTATCTATTGTATTTAAAGTATATAGTTAAAACTGTAGGTCAAATCAAAGTAGTTGAAACTAAATGAAATAAAACATAAATCTAGAATATTACTATTATACAGTGCACCGTGCTAGTTCCCGCCACACTCGGCTTCGCGACAGCTTTGCGACAGTTCAGGTTTGGTACGTGACACAGGGTAATTGAAGTTGGCTTTTAACGAACTGACGTCACAGGATTCGTCTAAATTAGTCTAAATAATTAATTACTTGATCCGTCATTGGTTGAGTCACTGGTTGACTGATTTTAAATCAGTTTTTTTGTGGACCAGACTCGTCCAGTGCGGTAGAGGCCTGGTCTCACAGCTCTTCTTTGTCCCTTCTCTCCAGGAGGCGCTGACTGTCCATAAACCCCACGGGACAACTGTCCACATCCACGTTCTTGCAGTCCACCGGACCTTCCGCCAGCAGGGAAAAGGCTCCATCCTGATGTGGCGGTACCTGCAGTATCTCAGGTGTCTGCCCTTTGTCCGTCGTGCGGTGCTCATGTGTGAGGACTTCCTGGTTCCCTTCTATCAAAAGTCAGGTTTTAAAGGACAGGGCACCAGTGAGATCACTGTGGGGCCCCTCACCTTCATCGAGATGTTCTACCCAGTCAGGGGACACGCCTACATGCGTCGCAACAGTGGTTGTTGAGGAGCAGGTGGGCTTCAAGAGGGAGAATCCCTGTGTAACTGTGTGGTGGCCACTGTGGCAGAGACTGTGGGAGGATGTGGGCCACGGAAGGAAATGTTTGTTTTTGTACAAATTATTGCATTGTATTACAGTAAATGCTGGACATTTATTATATTCATGTTACAGTTGCCTTATCGTTCTTTAATAAAAGTTATTTAATCTGTGACTTTAGTTTAATACTTTATAAATTTTAAATACGAGATTAACTAGAATGAGGCCTGACGTTAGCTTCTCAAAGGGAAAATACTTTTCTTCCGCTCATCTATATATGAAACATTAAAATGAATATTTTTTGGTCATTTATGAAGGTTGTCAGTGAGTGATTTGTTGAAAATATATATGTATATTAGCCAATATTCAGTGGATATATGCCTCCACTTTGGCTGCGTGCTTGTATATGTATAGTACTGTCATAGCTCTCTGTATGTTGATCACATTTGTGTAGTCTTTAAAAAAAGAACATTTAATTTGATCTGCTCTCTGGTCTTTTCATTACTGAACATGTTACATCTCCTTCAGGACTTTTTTAAAAAGTACTAATCTCACCATACAGTACAATCCATTTAGCAGCAACAGTTATGGTTGAACTACCAACTTCCTTTTTTGTGACCCTGTCAACATCCAACCATATTCCAAATTTACAGCATATAAACAAAACATGTATTGGACATTTTGAATTTTTTCCATTTACCTTAGTTAAATCAAATCACAATGATAACTTTAGTTTGATCCCACACTAGGGAAATTCTTGAAATGACATCACAAACAGGATTTGAAACTGCAGGGAAACCCCATTGGATTTCAAGGCCAACACCTTAACGTCTCAGCCACCGTGACACAATCCTATTAATATTAACATATAAACAGTGAAACAAAGGGAGGTCAAACACTATTACCACTTTCCTTTGGTAGAAAGGTCTTCCTGGGTGTGTGTGGACTCTGCTGGGATTGGATACAGGGAGACCCTGCAAGGATGAATCAGTAGAACATGAATAAATAAAAAATAAACTGGAGTGTAGGCAGGACAATTAAACATGTGATCAATGGTTAAGAAATCACCTTCCTATTGTCCTGTTGGATTGTGTGTTGCAGACAGTTTGAGAAAGCCAAGTTTGTCAGTGGAGGCACAGAATGTTTTCTTTTTCTTTTAAATTTTATTATACTATTGTGGCAAAAGTGAAAAATACATAAAAAATGACCAGTGCGTGAATGTACTGGATGAATACACACATTTTGTTTTTAATTATACATCTTCACAAGGATGCACACATCACTTCAAATTACTCAGGTGCTATTTATTTTAGCCTCATTGCTTTAGCACATACACAGTACACATGTAAAGAAAAGGTACCATCGTCATGACCTGAAATTCTCTTAAAAATTCCCTCTTCGTTTGGTCCCAGTGCAGACAGAGTAGTGTAACTGCCATCATCATGCAAGTTCTGCAGTTCAGTTAAAACATTCACATGTTCATTTGTTAAAAGGCACAGGAAACGATAATTGGTTTAAAAGAGGAGGAAGTCACTGTGAGAGAGCAAACTTCCACGGCTTGAAACTGTGGACTCTGAACGTGGAGAGAGAAAATATTGACTTTAAGAGTTATATATTTGTTTTTTTATAACTCGTGTTTTCAATAACACAGAATAATCAGTGGCTTACACTAAACACACGTAATCTGACTTAGTAACTAACATAATCCTCCACACAACAGTCACGGTCGTGGCCTTCCTGTAAGCAGGTGTTAACACACTCTATCATAAACAAACACAAGGCAGACTGAAGGAAATGTTCTATCAACAAACATGAGGTGTTGGAAAAAACCTGATGAATCTTATGACGTACACTGTTACACCATCAGGGGTCCACTGGACCAGGAGACCATCGACTGTGGCTGATGGACAACAAACACAACAAGCAGCTGCTTAAAATAGTGAAGACGGACCTTAGGTACTGTATGTTTATATGTATATATCCACATACAGATATAGTTATATATATATATACACATATATACACATACATATATGTATGTATATTTATGTGTACATACATATACACACACAAATACATATACATCTACACATACATACATATAGTGTATGTCTGTATAGGTGAAAAGTTAGAACACAAAAAAACTTAACACATAAATATAACCAATTTCCTTATATATCCTTTTCCTGGATGATGTCTTTCACACCAGTTGACAAACTGCCTCCATTTCATCTAAATGGCATTTGGATGGAGAACAAAAGAATCAGGTGGGGCTAGAGCAGAACACATGGTGACACCCAACACAGACCAATACTTGGGTGGACTGTACCTGGGAGTAAATGATGACTGTAGAAATATTCAATTTAAAATAGTTTATCACACTGCTCTGGTTCGCTTTTTTTTTATTTTAATTTTTTTAGAACAGTGCTGATGGGTGAGAAAAGTTCAAACTTTGACAGTGAATTTCATAAATATATTAAGGTTAAGCTGAAGGAAACATCTTGTTTAATGTATAATTTGTTTTTACAGTCATAAACACAATATAAAACTCACTCTTCACCCAGAATTCATGTTTAGATAAATACTTGTCTGCAGTTTTTTTTTTTTAAGAAATTTCATGAAACTTTTAGGCACCAATATTACTGAGAAAACAAAATCTGAAGGAGGGCTTGACCGAGAGTTTGTGGCAGTTAGACAAAGAACGGAAGTGACGGTGAAAACAACATGCACTAAAAGCATCACGTGATTTGACTTTGGTGTGTGATCGTCACTCAAGTTTGTTGATTGCATGCTGTATACGAAAACACAGTGAGGCATCTAAACAAGTGGAACGATCCATTTAAGGCAACCAGTGTTTTTAGATTGATATCTGGCCTAAATAACAGGTGACACGGACAGTTCCTGCCACTCTGCTAATACTCAGGTTTTATGTGGCACAGCTGTCCTCTCGTCTGATAGTGACCGTGGTAGAACAAATGCACTCATAAAAAGATAGAAAACACCAGGAAACACAGGTTGACGGTGGCAGCAGCACTGAAGTGATTCCTGTCGTGTAGTGTTACAGCTTCTCCTGCAGCCACCGCTGTTTGTCGCTGGTCTCCTAAAGTTCCAGGACTTGGGGACCAGTTGCTAGGAGGAAGAATCACCAGTCGGTAATCACCTCTCGTTTCCCACAGACTTGAAGTCAGATGTGATTGTCGACCTGAGGTGGCCATGATTTCCTGTGTTCTTTTGGCTTCTTGACACTTTTTCCCTTTAGACCCATCGCTTTTCCTTTTGAGCTTCTGAATTCTTGTTCTGTGTTTCAAGCATCTTTTAGTTCAGCTGAGGACTATGAAGGTTGATTTCAATGTGGAAGTTAAACTCTGCAGATTAATCTGAGAACATCAGTGAACTTTGGGGCTAAAGAAGAAAAAAAACAACAACAAAAAACAAAAAACAAAAATGCCCAGAACCTTGATATTTGCTGAAAACTAGTGGGTCAGTTCCCCTCACAGTGCGATCATATTATTAGGTTTGGGGACTGATGACTAGTGCACCACGTCATTAATGTCATGGTCAATGTCGTACTTCTCACAGAACTTGTTTGTGAAGGGCAGGCAGGTGAGATGCTCCAGCCAGTGCCAGTTAATGGGATAAATATAAAACCAAACGATGAGAGATGCAAAAAGACCGATGTAGAACAGCAACGAGACGCCGATGAGGATGCGTTTTTTGTACGTGTCAAAGGTCCCAAAGGTGACATAGGGCAGGAAGGCGAAAGAGAGCAACAAGCCACTGAGGAAACCAAAGATGTGGGCGATGTTGTCGATCCAGGGCAGGAGGCCACAAAGGAACAGGAAGAGGACGATGGCCACCAGCTTTGAGAAGGCCTTCCATGGTTTCTCCAACATCTGCCAGCCTTGAATCAGTTCAACAAACAGGCAAGCAAGGAGACCAAACTGGGATCCAGCTGGACCCACCTGGGGGAGAAAGTGAAGGGGAAAAAAGGAAGTTAGGGAGGATCCCAATAAGGTTATTTAGGTCCAAGGAAGGTCAGATCCATTTATCTACTGATTTGATGAAGGCATTATAATAGTGAGGTTAGAAGAAATTGTGAAGAAGAATCACAGCACGATCGCCAGGTCAGGCAGCAGAGGTGAGCAGATTACTGACGTCAGTACCTGGTCAGAGACAGATGGCTAATCTGTGACGACACTAAACTCCTGAAAACAGAAAGCAGCCTGGCAGAAACCGACAGGTGACGGACATGTGGGCTGACACAGGTAGAGTGGTTGGATGGTGATTTCCTGTTAGCTGAGGCCGAAAATGTACACGAGCTGTACATGTTTAAACTTTTATTTCCTAAATTTTTAGATTCAGAATCATTTTATACTTGTTTATCTCTATACCTGACATTTAAGCCTTATACATTCAGGAATTAATTTAAGAAAATCTCTGTACTTGTCTAAAAGCAGAGTTATCTCTTAGACATCAGTTAACATGAAATAAATCACAAATTGTTTCTTCTAGTGCTTCAGTGATGTTTTATTTTATTTTGAAAGTAAAAACTCCAACTACAACACTTCTATTTTTTCTGCCTGTTTAATCATCATTAATAGCTGGCGTGTCCACCGTTCACTGTTCGCTGGGACTCCTTCACTTCCACAGTTAAGGGATAACTCACTTAAACTGCCTCTTTAATCGGCTTGACTGCCATTAGTCGAGCTTTGCACGTGTTTCCTCAGGTTATTCCTGGGGGGTGACGACCTGGGAGCTAGGAAGTGGGATTTCTGGATCTCACATCATAGAGTCACCCAGTGTCAAACCCCAGAAATATAAGGTGGGTGACCCTAACCCTTCAGTCAGGTCATTCATGTTAATCAGTTGACAACAGAGCCAGTAGGTGGCATTAATGCAACTGAAGGATGACACATAACCATGGAGGGATTGGAGGGAGGGGCAGAAACAGAGTCACTCTTAGAAGTCGTTCATTTCTTAATCAAATGTTCATATTAACTCAATCGGAATTTTAGAGTTTTACTCCCTAAATCATTTCTGATAGCTCATCTAAAATTCATTTTTTACATTTCAGGAGCTCAATAAGTATTCAACAGGATTGGCTGTCCAATAAAACAGCTCTATAAAGAACAATGTTAGCTTTTTTAACACAGGTCTACAAATTCTATTTTTTTGAAAACAACAGTACTGTATGTGTGTGTGTGTGTGTGTGTGTGTGTGAGCTCACCTCAGCTCTGTAAGGCAGAAACAGCGCTGAAGCCAGGTTTCCAGTGATGCCACTGAGGATGTAAATGATGGAGATACGAACCCAGCCCGCCAGTTTCTCCAGGTCTCTCAGTATGGTCATCTGGAAAACCACTGACACGCCACAGTGTAAGAGCCTGCAGAAACACAAACACAAAACAAACACATGTACTGTACCATATTTTTCTGTGTGCTGTCCTGGTGTGTTTGCTTTTTTTCAAGCAGAGGATTTTCCATGTGCAGCGTTTTCACAGTAAGTATTACAGTACTCACATGAGTACACAGCTCACGAGACTGGGGGCCTCATGGAATTATATCTTTAGGTTTGAACCCTGCAGAATGCTGACACGGGGGAAACCTCAACTTACCTCATAATAAAAACAGACCTATGGAGTAATATTACTTTACAAATACTACTACTGATTTCATGACTTTGTTTCAGCCATGTCAGGTAGTGACAATTGAAAGATGCAAAACAAAACTTGAGTTTAACTACAGCATAAATTTAAAATATATATATATATAAATAAGGAGTAAGAAATAAGATTTTTAAACCTAGATAAAATATTTATTGGTAATACTGTATGTCATTTACCAAGACCTTTGTTATAATTCTAAAGCTACATCTTTTTATGTGGAACAAAAAAAGGGAAAAAAGAATGTAATGACGTCTGAGTACTTTTCAGTAATAATATGGTTTTCAAAGCACAACAAATCATAGTGATGTTTTTCAATGCTCTTAATAAACCATGACTTGGAGGTTCAGTGATGTGTTTGTGAGGCGTGCAGTGTGTACCCAGCATGAAGGAACAGCGAGAGCCACAGACGGTAAAACTGATCTGGAACGTCGGGGTTCAGAAAGGGCAGCAACCCACACACATCATCCAGACAGTGGACCTGCAGAGGAGCAGTGCAGGAGTTCAGAATGGTACAAACAGACACAGAGACGCACAGACACACAGACACACACCTGGGAGCAGAGTGTAGCATCTTCATGAAAATAACCGTGCATAAACTTGCAGTAGTCAGGTGTGGTGATCTCACATCTGCAGCATGAAACAAAGAAACACAAGACACATTTACAAATAAATCAGACAGTAAGGTTCTCCAGCGAGCCAATGATGTCACAGGAAAGACGTCTCAGCCACCACATCTCACCTGCCTTTGGTTCCTATACAACAGGGCCGCCCCTTGATTTTACAGTCCATGTTTCTGTAACCTGTTTGTTTCCATGTCTTGGGAGCCGTGCACACCTGGTAGGGAACAAAGATTAACCATCAGATAAAAAAACATGACAAGGTATTTCTTAAATGTCATGTTCTCTTACTGGCCACTGGGTGATGTCATCGGGCCAGGTATGTGGTGGAGTAGACGCAGGCTCTTCACACACTCTGTGGACAACACGCAGCACATACGAGGTTAAAACACCATCATGTGACCGCATGATCACAACCTGCTCTTCTCCTTCTCACCTGGGGTCCTGGTGACAGACCGAACCAGAAGACCTGACGATGTCTATAAGCTCGTTGTCCCACTTAATAAACGTGGCCAGAGTTTCCTGTGAGGACAGCTGTGTCAGTTTAAAAATTCTAAATCCCAGTACTATCTTTTTCATTTAATCAATTGCTGAGTTCATATGTGATTACAGAATAAATCCTAATAAACAAAGGCTTTTTTTTTACAAAGTTGAACAACATACAGAGCAGTCAGAGCTGTGTGTCTGCACACATCCAGAGTTGTCGTTCTGCACACAGCAGCCAGAGCCTCTCTCCAGGTCTTTGGCCCTCTGGATCAGATTCACGATCTGTTTGTCCTGACGGATGCACGGTGAGAACTTGGCGCCCAGATGAATCAGGTCGTCCTTTTTTTACAGTGAAAATAATGTATGATTATTTAATGCAGCTCAAATGCAAATGACACCTAGCAACTAATACACTTGTGTATGATATAAATACAAGGTTTCTTTGTGTTGACAGTTTTAAATAAGAGTGATGTAGCTGACAACACAGGCACTTATCATCTACTTGTCATTGTGACTGCTTTTAACCCATCACCAAAGTGGACAGTGGGCAGCTTTAAACGCCCGGGGAGCAGTGTGTGGGGACGGAGCCATGCTCAGAGCACCTCAGTGGTAACTTGGCAGCTGGTGGAACCTGGAGCCTTCCGGACCCAAGTCCACTTGCTTAACCACTAAGCTACCACTTCCTATGTAAATAAGTAAATTGGTATGTTAATAGTTTGAGGATGTGACTTAACTGATGTAGATAGAGTAACACATACAGCTGAGAAGAGGAAGAGATGGGTGACTTGACAGGAAACACATCGACAAAGTGACAAAAAATGTGAGACTCAACTTGAGGATGTCGCCCCCACGCAATCAACTAAACTATGAAACTGCAGAAACACTGGTGTCACCATTACTCAACTCTGTTAAACCTGACCATTCACTGGTTCCATGTTAACGTTATGTGTTAACAGATGTGTCTGAAGGAATAACGGAGTACACAGTGTAATACAGGAGTTAAAGTGAGACTCACAGAACTAGGACCAATCCAGAAGTTTTCCTGCTGGACAAACTTGACGCTCTCATAAAGACCTTTGTTTTTCAATACCTACAGAGGGCGACAGTGAGACAGAGAATCCTCAGATACAGAAACACATGACAGAAGTACAAAAATTCTATATATGGTTATTGTTTGTTTAAAAAAAAAAGGAAACAAGGGTTGTCGTTTTTGCAATCTGATAAGTGTACAAGTGTGTACTAGGCAAACACCCAAGGTAGTACTCATACTTTTTGAGGATAGGTTTCAATAACTATGCATAAAAACTTGGGAGGGAGTTTTATTTTCTTCTCAATAACAAAAAACTAATGTAATTAAAAAGAAACATTTCTGTTTTAGACAACATGGACAGATAGGAACTCTAGTGATCTAGTGGGCGGGGCATCGGAGTACATGCACCAACAGCAGATTTTAGTGGGTTGTCTATTAAATACAGCTACAACTTTGATATAAACTTGGTCTGTTGATGTAAAATTGTCCTAGTGTTGAAAAAGAGTTTATTACATAGGTTTAACGGACATTAGTTAAGTCTGGTTTACCCTCAACAGATCAAAATCAAAACAGAGAGAAAACAGACAACAGATGAGGATATTTGAAAGATGGAGATTAAGCATCATGCATAACTTGTAAGACTTGATATGAAGACCTTGATATTTATATTCAATATAATAAATACTTCATCTCAACAGCAACAAACAGTTCAGTTTTTACATCAACTCACCAGGTCAGACGTAGAATGTTGTGCAAATCCCACAGGGGCGAAACCATACGTACAACACGCCAGCAAAGTAATCACAATATGAACAAATGTAATCCAGTAGGTAAAATATGGCCTAAAAAACACAGGAAACACACGACATCAGTTGAGCAGCTGATAATTCCAGTGTTTTAACTGTGTGTTTACTGTTTGTTGATGTTTATTTCACTCATTCCAAACCTGTGGCTGTGAAAGTCCTCCAGCTGCTTCTGGACGTTGCTGCTCAGGCTGCGTCTGTAGTGCCGGTTCAACCACTTCCCCACGACCCCCATACCATACTGTCGCTTCTGTTTGTCAAACGCAAAGTGCTTCACTTGGGAGGCGATGCGGCGTCCACGGCGAGGATGGCTCTTCTCAGACACTGCTGCCGGAGTCCGAGACTCTTGCCTGGAGGAAGGGGACAAGAGACAATTACTGAGCAAGTGACTTCATATTCATATTAAAAAATAATTATTACAACATACGTATAGGTGCCTAAATATATTACAAAATATTCTGACAAGACACAACACACGGTCACAGAAAAAGTTTTTCCAACTTGTGATGAGAGTTCCCATTTTGAATACAGTGTTAAGGCTTGAGGAATATTCTGGAAGCAAGTTTAGACATAGACTCCAGTTCACCTGGGTTGTAAAGAAGCTGCTGCTCTTATTAAAGGTGTGATTGTTGCCATATTCACACTCACGCAATTGGGAATTTCTGCTCAGGCTGTTCGAAGGGACATGCTGACATGGGTGGAGATTCAAACACATCGTCGGTCATTAACGACAGCTCACCGTGGACGTCACCCTGTGCAGCAGAGGAACAATTAATCATCTGACAAATTCATCTGTCCAGTAAAGGACAGGGACAGAGAAGTAAAGGTAGGAGTGAACAAGAATAGAGCAGAAGTGTAGTAACAAAAGAAAAGAAAAACCTCATGGCAATACCATCTATTGGCACAACGGACAGTTTACCATCACGTCTCATGTTTTTATGAGTCTGATGAGTTTGATGTACAAGTATCTAGTTAGGTGTGAATGACTCTGCCGCTAAATTGGTGTTGAAAGTATGAACAAAGAGCAACTGTTCTAGAGACATTAAAATTCCACTGGATGGCCACGTCAAGATTTCAAAGCATTCACTTTTTAAACAACCAGAAAAGCAGTGAAAGTCCAATTAGGGAAACATGTTAGTGTCTTTGAAAAGGAAGTAAGAAAAGACAACAGGAAGATTAAAGAGAAGAAAATTCTGCTGACTTTGCTAAAAAAGACAGACTCTGATGCGTCTGCAGAGTCAACAGTGTCCTCATCCATCCAGCTGGGTCTGACAAAGCTCCGCCTGGGTAAACTGCGACCCGTCTGTGATCCGGCCAAACCACTGCGACCCTGAGCATGACACAGAAACAAAGATAGACGGCCACAAACCCATTAGTCATGATTTGAGTTTCATACTAAATTTAGAAAACAATTCTTTATTTCCCAGAAACAAGGAAACAACAGTGTTAACAAATTACAGACTACATTTTATTTTTGTTATAAGAAAAAGAAAAAAAAAACACAAAATTTTAAATAATTCCCAGATATTAAAAAAAACCAACAACTTTGTGATAACCATACACACCTTCAGCAGGTTGGAGGCAGCTCGGATGCTCATGCGGGCCACAGACTCCCTCTTCCTCCTGGGGAATCGGCTGTAGCCGGAGCGCTGGCTGGTGAAAGAGCAGAGTGAGTTGACCCCCGGAGTGACGGGAGCGCCCTGGGTGGCGTGAGGCGTCCTGGGGGAGCGACTGTCGGCATCTTCTGGGCAACGGAATGCTCTTCCTCGAGCCAGAGGATCAACGATCTAAAAAACGTAAAAAATGTATTTAAGAAGTGTATGCTGACTTTTAGGGAGAATATTTAAAAATCACATGGAGCGTTTTGTGAGGTCACCACACAAGAGAAATAGAGAATTTAGTTCAGGAACAGTAAAATGCAGGTGGATTTTGGAGATTATGATTGACATGAACTGTGCTGAGCGCCTTGACTCACCAGTGGCCCAGATGGTCATAGTCTGTCACCAGTGTCTTATTAAAGACTGACACGTTGTCAAATCTCAAATCAAGTCACAAATGCCCCTGTCTTTCACCTGATGACAGGTCATATTTAGTATAGTAATCCAAGAACACTGCCAGGATTTATTTACACCTTCTGGTATCTTCTAATTTAATTTTCTAAGTAAGGAGGTGTAAACAAATGCCCGAATTCTGAAGAAAGGTATCTGAGTCTCTGTGTCTACAGCTGATGGAATATGTCTCAGTGAAGAAACTTTTGTAAAAACCTTGTTCCTGTTGGTACTGGAACTTTGTAGAGTTCCATTTTCCTCATTCACATGCTGGAAAACGACATTATCAATATTCATTCCACCAAAGTTTTGCAGGACTGGACATATCAGTCCCATCTTTTTCATACCTTTGGCATCTTCTGTGTGGCTGGTGAGTCCAGGCCCTGGTCGAAGCTGGTGGCTGTGTCGGGTTCTCTGTACTGGGGCTTCAGTTTGCCATAGCGCTGGCTGCAGTGACGCAGGCTCTTCCTCTGCCATACCTGCTGCTTGGTCTCACAGTCTTCACTCACACCGAACCACTGGGCTGTGTTCCTGCAGGTACAAAATGAACAGAGTGACCGGGGTGGAAACAGAACTCAGTGCACCATCAAGCAGCAGGGCTCAATGTTGTGCAAATTTAGGGTGGCTATGCATGGCATGAAAAGGGATGTGTTCACAACTTCACAAAATCATTGATATACTGATGCAAGTGAAACTACATGAGATTATTTTTTATTTAAATTAGAGTATTTGCAGGCATAAATCTTCTGCTGCTACAACACAAAAGTAAATGATGACCTGGAATGTCTGGTGAAGGAAATACCAAAAGAGGTCAAAGAGGACTAAAAGAAACCAATATCAATGTTTCATTTCCTGTTAATGGTTAGAGAAATGAACTGCAACTGAACACACCTAAAGTTAAATGAGCCGTGGGAACAGCACCATTAGTGTTTTTAACATATAATAATTTCTCACACCTTGACTGGCTCCACTGTCATACGGAAACAATTTAGGACACTATGCAAAATTCAAAGTTTTACCTTCGAATGCTCTGTGACAGTGATGTTTGTCGACCTAATTTTGATCTTCTGTCCCTGGTTAAGAAACCTCTCTCTTCAGCTCCACTTGTGCTCTCTGACACAGAACTGGTCACCTGAAAACTCTCACTCTTCTTCAGGGACGATCGCAGGGGCTGAAAATTACATTTAGTTCACTTATTATAAAATAAAGTATAATTACAAAATAATATTACAATATTATACACACACACGTACACACATATATGCCCATAAAGATATAATGTTGGTTTATATATTTCATATAAATATAAAGCGATTTCAAACCAAATGCTACTTTAAAAAAAAAACAATAAACTCATTTGAATTAAAAAAAAAGTTTGCACATAATGTGATGAATGAAAAAAAAAATCTCAAATACATTTCTTATCTGATGCCAGCACCTTAATTTACATAGCACTGGTAGTTCAAATAACAGACTCGGCTCTGAGAGAACGTTGACGAAACGCTAACCTCCACATTGTATTTACAGTTATACAAGTTGGACCAACCTGTTTTGCAGCGTCGTGGGACATTGTGGCTTCAGGTGGAGGGATGGCTATGACAAGACTGGGCGGCTTCTTACTCTTCAGACGGCTGTCTTTTTGACCTCCATTGGAGGGAGGCTCTTTGTCCTTCTCCTCCTGTGACGCCATGTCAGACTGCTGGAAAACAGAAAACCATGAACACACTTCATTTTACTACAGTTATGGGAATATTAGATTACTATGACAAAGAAGTTAAACAGATTTTACAAAAATGTAACATCCAGGAGTCGAATGGAACAAAACTGTCAGAACAACAATGGCTGAACTTTAACATTTAGTTGGCAGTAGCAGGATAATTGGTTAGTTGGTGTACTCAAGGGGTGGTGCAGAGCTTTTTTATGAACATCGCTATCAGGTTGCAAAAGT